GCACCTGCTATTAAGGGCAGCTGCACTGTTACCTAGTACAGAAAAGGAAGCTACTTCAAATATGCTTTGGATATAATAGGTCTACATCTGTCCTAGCAATAAACAGATGTGCACTCAAATGAAGTATTTAAGAGAATTTAAAGAAGGAACTATTTTCAAAGATATGGGTAGGGTTTACATTAAACAGCAGGGGAAAGCAGCAAAGGATGGTGAAGTACCAGAAGGCTGGCAGTATCAGGAAGCTGTTACCATCTCTAGGCCTAAAGGGACAAAGAAAGGGTTACCAGATACAGACCCTGGCAACACTAAGGCCAGCAGGAAGAAACTGACTCCTCCAGGCCACCTTTGTCCCATTAATCAAAGCCAACCAGAAACCAGAGAGCAAGGGCTCAGTTAATGTAGTCCACAGTAGTTGCCTCCCAGAGCAATGAACATAATAAAGAAGGGTGGTGAGAAAACCTGCAGGGGCAGAGAATAAACAGCATAGAAAGGTATTCTAAATGACTCTTGCACAGCAAAACACAAACAGTGAAAAGGTTTTACCAGTTTCATCTAAATCTACCAGACATCATGGAGCTGCCTGCAAATGAAATCATAAACATGGGTACTCATTCGGGTTGGTAGCACTCTATATCAATTTTTTTAAAATACTCTGAAGAGTAATTACAGGTAACTAACATTTCTGCATCTCTAAAGAGTAAACAGATAACCCATCTTTATGTATAATGGATCAGATCTAAGATAATACCCTCCTCTGTGCTCAAAGGGAACCTATTCCAAGCCTCCATTTTTGTGCTTATCATGATGTATTGTAATTGTTGTTTATTTGCTTCTCCTTCATTAGACTCTGAACTCCTCTAAGGCAAGAATTTTTATTTATCTTTATGTCCCTACCACCTAACACGGCACCTGGCAAGAAGTTGGCCTTCAATCAATGTGAATGAAATCAATTAATTGATTCAGTGCCCATTAACTGTCAGTCTAATGCCATAAAATCCAGAATAACTCGGAAACTAAACACTAATGAGTTTTACTCAGGACATGGTTAAAAACATTGAGCAAATACACAGCCACTTTCAACCAGGATTAAAAAAAAAAAAAAAAAAAGAGCCCACTGTCATTCTCTGTTGAGCAGTTTTCCTTGCTTGCATAAAGATGCTTATGGTCTTTTCTACAATCATACAATCTATCACCAAAGAACTAGAGAAAGATGGCAAGGCTATGCTCCATTTAGGAAAAAAATCAAATACACTAATCTCTCAAAATTATCATTCTTCTTTCAAGGATTTATCAGCTCCACTGAAAAAACTAGTAAGTTGAGCATATTATAAAAATAGAGAAATTCACGTCTCATAGTGATGACAAGGATGACTTAAGAGTAGAAACATACACACACACAAATAGAATGTTTAATAATCACAGAAACCTTCAAAACACCACCCATTGTAAAATTATAAAGTAGCTGTGTAGCACAACCATGTAACACAGTCATATTACAATGAATACAAAGTATGATGTTGGGGTGGTCATTAACAGAATGCCGAGCACATTCAGGTTATAATTATGAATCACTTTCATATAACCCTGTACTTATGTTGGTATTGTCCACTCTTACCTGTAGATTCTCGGTAAACACAAAAACCAAACCCACTGCCACCAAGTCAATTCTAACTTACAGTGACCTATAGGGAAGAGCAAAACTGCCCCACAGGGCTGCAGATTGGCTGGTGGGTTCCAATGCCAAACTTTTGGTTAGCAGCTGAATGCTTTAATCACTCTGCCACCAAATTTTCCATAGCAAAAGAAAAAACTTAATGCCTAGTTGCTACCTCAATTTGAGCTACCATGATTTTAGGCTGCCAATCTCCTAATGTCAGTAAGGAAAATTAAAAGTAAGTTTAATATGACCTTTAGAAAGACTCCACTAGCAAAGTAACTTTCTATAAGGACACGTATCTTCCAAAACCCTACATGAAAAATTTCTGTATCATCTGCATGGCTGTTCTTCTTCATTGTGATGTTTGTAAGAGTGTAGTTAAATCTAATGTCACCTTATACATCTAATTAAAATAAGTCAGTACTTCACTTTCTATTTACGGAAAAGGGAAATCTGGGCTTATCCTTGACAATACACTGAATTATTTTAGAAGAAATGCCAATAATGTGAAAACAGATAAACTACATTTTAGAAAAGGCCCAAAAGCAAGCCTTTTCTAAAACCATCAAAAATTTAAAATCTAATCACAATTTTATCTTTTTAAAAGTCATCATATATCCTACAGCTCTCAAAGGCAACGTAGCACTAACGTTACTCTTATGTTTATAGGACAAGTGTCCTATAAAAAGCCTGTAAAAGTGTTTAAATTTGCATCATGTTGAAAATAAAAGGCTACAAAAACCTATAATTTATAAAAATTGTACTAGATATAGATTTCTCCATTATTTATGAATTAAAAAAAAACTTGCAGCTCTATCATACCGGTGTGTTTAACATTAGCTTCAGCTACGTCAGAGCAGTCTCATGTTTCATCCCTCCAATTACAGCACCCATAGAAAGAACATGATGTTTGTTTTATAAATTAGTAACTCCTACAGAGTAGCAAACAGAAAGTTGATATATAATTTTGATAGGATCCAACATCTGGCAATAACAGGATAATGTGCAATATAGCAGACTTACCAAAATTACTTCTGATCAAATATTTTCCTCTTCTTTTCTACGGCACTAGACTGCTAACCAGAAGGCTGATGGTTCAAACCCACTCAGCCACTCCTCAGAAGGAAGATTAGGCAATCTGCTTCCGTAGTGATACCACCTCGGAAACCCAAGAAGGAGTCACTATGAGTCAGAAAACGACTCGACAGCAGTGAGTTTGGTTTTTGTTGTTTTTATTTTTTCCACTAAACTATCGATGAAGGAGCTCTGGTAGCATAGCACCTAAAGCACTTGACTGCTAACCAGAAGGCTGGCTGTTCAAACCCACCAGCCACTCCTCAGAAGGAAGGTTGGGCAATCTACTTCCATAGTTATAACTGCCTCGGCAACCCAAGGAGGGGTCGCTATGAGTCGGGGCTGACTTGACGGCACACAACAACAACAACAAATCGATGAAGTTTAACAAGACTCTACTTACACTGAGTACAAGTTAAAACACACTTTAAAAATTAACATCTTTCCTACAATAAACTTACCATTGCAAATAAATTAGAATATACTTTAATTATTAGTATGTCCTGACATCTAAAAGATTGTTTGTGTTCCTATACATAGAAGCCTTCCAAAATTGTGTTCCCCTTTCCTAAAATTCACTGTGCAGTTACATGGCAGTGTCTAGGCAGAAAATAAAAACGCTTCATAGATAACAAAAAGGAATCCTTCCTAAAACAGGTAACAGAAAATTTATTAGAATTCACCAAGACTGCAAGCATCTAAATGGTCATTATGGAAGTATGACAGTGGAATATTCAGAACCCATTGTTGTCAAGTTGATTGTGACTCACAGCCACCCTACAGGACAAAGCAGAACTGCCTCATAGAATTTTTAAAGCTATAAATCTTTACAGAAGCAGACCAGCACCTTCCCTCCTTGAAGTGACTGGTTGGCTTCAACTGCCAAACTTTCTGTTAGCAGTGGAGGACTACTGTGACCAGGGCTCCCTGGAATATTCAGGCACTACTGATTTAAACCCAGGGAATTTCCTATCACTGAGAAGCCATTATGTAGACCTGAAGTTAGGTTGCTAAAGCCACAGATCTCCAACCTCAAGAACTTGCCATTACTAGCACTTCAAATTCTTCAAACTTGAGTGCTGTTCTTGCTAGTTGCTGTCTAGTTGATTTCCACTCAGGGTGATCCCATGTGTGCAGAGTAGATCTGCTCTATAGGGTTTTCAAAGCTGTGACCTTTTCCAGAAGCACACTGCCAAAACTGTCTTCTAAGACGCCGTTGGGTGGTTTTGAACAGCCTTTCCGTTAGTAACCCAGCGCTTAAGCATCAGCACCACCCAGGGTCTCCCAAACATGAATGGGGCTACATACACAAACCCATAGCAGGTCTTTTTTTTTTTTTTTCTTTAGTCTTTCCCATAATGCATGAGCAATCACAACATGCCTGCCTTACACAAGACATATAAAAAGGTGAAAGCTACCATTCCAACACCTCTCCCTTACTCAGAAAATTCTCCTCAAAGAAAGGAGAAGCCCAGAATTGCACTCTTCCCACCGGAAAGACAGCACCAAATGTGCTGCAGCCAGAGACTGCCTAGACCCTTGAGAGCTGTCACAGGAGACGGGAAAGCTACACCATGGCAAGGGCTGTGCAGAGGAGGTGACAGCAAGTCTGGGGTATCCCTCCCCTTCAAAAACATCAAGCCTCTTCAGACCTATAGGCAGAAACTTGGCATCCTCGCCCCACTTGCAGCGTGACAATTTACAACTTGGCAACACCTTCTAATTAGGTATGTTCTAGTCTTTTATGGCCGAAAAATTAAACTGCTTCCCACTAGTAAGATAAACCATGCACTGGCGCCTGTTACTGAAATCCCCAGTGCCTCAAGCCTCCACTCAGGCTACTGAACCTGATGAGCCAGTGACCAGACTTCCCTACAGTAGAGAGGGGAGCAGCCCACGTTACTATGCTAGGAATGGAACAGGGGGAAAACAGAGGACAGGAGCGAGGCGCTGAGCGCACAGGCGTGAGCAGCGTCCAAGCAGGGCTGGGCTCAGCGCACCGGCGGGCGACAGGCACGCAGCGACGGCCACGCGGGAGCCGGGGTACGGTATGCAAAGCGGGGGGTCCTCAGCCGCAGAAGCTGCCACCCGCGTCTCGCCCGGCAGAGACGCGCGCGTCAGGGACACCCCCAACCCGGGCTGCGGCTCCTCCCGAGCCCCCTCGCAGACACACCCCCCCGCAGGATGCGCACCCCACCCAAGCTCGAGCGCACACGCCCCTCCGGCCGGGCAGCAGCGCCCAGGCAGCGGGCAGGCGACGCATACGTACCCAGCAACACGCAGAGTACATCTAGGGCCACGTACGGCAGCCGCGTCTTGTCAAACATGGTCTCTGCCGGAGCTGCCGGGCGCGGGAGGCGGGCGAAGCTGCGGGCCGGCGGCTGAGGCACCCGATTCACGAGCCCTGGGCAGGGGTTGGCAAGGGCTTCGAGCCACGGCTCCTCCCAGCCAGGGGAGAGCAGCCAAGGGCCGGAATGAAATCGGGAGGCGCTCCGACGGCCAGCAATGGCGTCTAAGACCCCTCTTCGCAACTCCCGCAACCACTCAGTCGGGGCCGAGACGCTCGCGCGCCAGTCGCAGCCACTCCGTCACCACAGGCCCTTCTCAGTCGGCCTCGCCTATCTGGGCTGTCCACTGTCCGGATCCCGGCGCCCTCTCCAACGGGCGGGGCGTTCGGGATCCTGCTTTAAGGATGGGGACCGGTAGGGAGGAGGAACGCGGGCCGGGCCCCTCCCGCCGGGCAGCGCGGGACCGGCCAGTACGCGGCCTCGCGGACTGGGGGACGCGGTGAGGGCGGGGCCGCCGGCGAGAGGGCGGTGGGGCGGAGCCGGGAAACCCCAGACCGGCCAGGGGAGCCAATCAGTGCCTCTGACTCTGCCCCGCCGGATCTGCGGAGCCGGCCCCTACCGTTGGACCTGCGGCGGTCGGGCGGCGCGTGCAGGCGTCCGCGGTGCGGGTGCCTGAGGGGGAGCGTTGCTCTGGCTCTCCTATCCTTTGGTGGTCACTAAGTGTGGCCTCGTTAACGCGAGGCTCCAAGCAGCGGAGGGAGACCTCGTCCCCCTAACCGAGGATCCACAGTCCAGGCTGACGGCCACCCCCCCCTCTTCCGCAGCCGTGGAGATACTGTAATAAAGATCTTGTAATAAAGGGCATGCTCCAGCCCTGATGCCCGGGAGAATCCTAGCGATGATTTATTTAGTCATCTCAGTTTCCTAATTTGTAAAGTGAGGATGTTGATAATCCCTGCGATGTGTTTTGATCAAGAGGAAGTGGTGAAACTCCAAAAAGGTAATGTGAAAGTACTTTGTGCAGGGTAAAGCCATCTACAGATGTTAAAGACTGATACTTATCTTTATTCACATTCTACCTCATTATAAAAAAAATAATAAAAGACGGCAGGCTTTTCCTGTGAAGCACCCCTGAAACCAAAGGAAAGAAACATTCATTACCCTCGGAGAGTCTGAACATGCAGCCTCAAGGAATCCTCCACCAACAAAAAAATATTTTTAAAGAAGTGTGTTTTCCTTTAAAAGGAATGTGAGTTTTTAACTTTACCTTTCATTTTAATTTTTTTTTTTACCTTTTCAGCAATTTACTAAAAAAA